TCACGGGAGCGGTTTGAGCTGGTCACGCGTGCGGGGACCGGCTAAACAGCCCACGGTGTTTGCCGGCAGGGGTTCGGGGGTTGCAATTCAATCAGCACCTCCCTTTTTGAAACGGGGAGGGGGGGCTTTGCAGATTTTAGGAGGGGAGCAGAGGATGGCGCCGTGGGCTCAGCAACGCCGTGAGTCTGTCTCCCCACACAGAAACACCCGAGCACTTCTTCCAAGCAGCCCACTTTTTTGGGTCAAGAAAGAAGTGATTCAAGGTAGCCCAGCCTCAAAATATCCATAAAGGGATAAGTCAGCTCTCGCAGATGGCAGGGAAGCGGAAAAGCTGCTGACGGAGTGGGGCAAACCACACGGATCTGGGTCTGTCGCTGCTCCACAGCAAGCAAACCTCAGCCGCCGTGGATGAGAAGACAAAGCAGGACCTCCAGTAGTGTGAAACCAAACTGTCTATGTACAAAACTCCTGCCCAGGGTCACATCCCTCCGCTCGCTGCCTCGGGGAAGCCAGGCTGACTTATCCCTTTACTGGCAGGTGCTCAAGCCCACAGCCGGAGTCAGGATATCTCGTTGCCGAAGACCTCGAGCACCAGCGGCGTGAGCTGCATGCTGTGCTCAGGCTGGAAGGAGAGGCAGCGGTACTGCTTGGAGTGCTCCTCGTTCAGGCTCCGTAGGTCGGCCAGCTTCTGGATCATCTTGGCGTAGAGCAGGCGGCTGCCGGGAGGAGGGTGCCTGCAGCGGATGTAGGTCTGGAGGATCTCCGAGAGGCGATCCTGGAGGGATTCCACCAGCGAGGTGTCCTGCACGCCTGGGCGATCTAGGAAACACCAGGGACGTGGGGTGATTCCCTTCCCTTTTCCCAGCCGGCCATGATGGAGAGGCAGGGAAAGGTGACATTTTTGGGGAGGCAGCTAAAACCTGGCAGGTTAGTGCCCCGGGGGGTGGAGCGTCCTCCTACCTGGGGACAGGATGCAGATGGCCATGAGGAGCACGTGCTCTTCTTCGTGAAGGTTCAGCTTCTTCAAGCCAACCTGGAATTTCACAAGCGGCTCGAGCAGGTCCATGCTGTGGCCAGCTGGGAAGAGAAAAGGGCCTTTATCGCAGCCTGCTCCGGAACAAGGTCTCCCACAGCCGAGGGATGAGCGTGGAGCTCGGCAGCCCTTCAGTGCAGCAGAGAGCCGGGACAGTGAAAGACTACTTTTGATACAGCTTAAAACACGTTGGTTTTTAATTGTACTTTTCTCCCCAGCAGTTTCTCTAAAGCAGGAGATTATGGAGCAGATTTTGCTTTTGACATCTATAAAGACACTTACCCTACAGCCATTCTGCCTCCTTATCGTCATTTCCGCACTGCCCCGTGTCCTGCACAAGCATCACAAACCAGACCTTGTGTGCCCAGAGCCCTCCGCAAGCAGATTGCTTCCTGGCATTCAGTGGGTGCCAGCTGCCCCGTGCCTGGTCCCACCACACCGCTTGCTCTGGCTCTCCTGGGATCTCGCTGGGGGATCCCTGCCCTTGCCCACATCCCTGGGTTACTCCGTGGCTCTTCCAAGTGCAGGGAGAGATTTAAGTTCCATATATATCACCTGCACACCCTGTTCTCCGTGCTGGTCCCCCAATCCTAAAGCAAGGGATGTTTAGGGCAGGATTCACCACTTTTCCTACCAGAAGGGCTTCCTGGCTGCAGAGCACAGCGGCTTTCCAGCCCTCGCAGCAGCTCGGATCAAACTGAACTCAGCCCCCGTCGCGGGGCAGAGGGGCTGGAGACAGCTCTGAGCTCCAGCCACGCTCTAGCTTTGCTTTTCTTAAGGAGTTAATGGCTCTTGCCATCCGGCTGCGGGATGCACACAGGTCACAGCGCGGGGCTTGGGAGATAAAACAGAGCACGGCTGATGCCGGGACGGGGGTCTCAGTGCAGCCGTCGCACTGCCGAGCTGCTGGTGCTGCCGCCTTCCGCAGCCGTGCAGCCTGCCAACATGTCCCTGCTTCCAGACTACTCAGTATGGGCTTTCTGCATCTGAATTTAAGGCTGCGACAACATTTCTTAGCCCGCAGCAAGCAGGAGAGTGCCCGGCAGCCTTTACCTTGGGTGACATCGCTGATCCTGTACTTGAAGTCATTGCTGCCACAGGTCCACGTCATGTCCTCAAGGGTGAAGGACTGATTCGAGCGCAGCATGATCACCTCAATGGCGCTGGATTTCAGCAGGGCGATCTGGTCCTCTGCTGCCAGGTTCCTGGGCAGGGGGAGTAGGGGGGTGAGAGACCTGTCCGGTGAGCAAAGGAGCAGCCCCCGCCGCCCACACACCAGGTTCTCCATCGGTAATCCGGTCCCTTTGCTGGGGGCACCCCAGCTTCTCCCTCAGCCCAGGTTTCCATGTAACTAAGCAGCAGGTATTTCTGCAGCGACATTTACGGAGTGGCACCACCCAGCGCCCCGGGCACCAGCCTGGAGTTAAACAGGACCTGAAGTCCTTCACAAACCAGGACGGGACCGCTCCCATGGTCTCGAGCATCTTAGGAGCTCAAGCATTTTGCTGGTAGAGTCTGGGTGAATCAAGGTAAAATAGGAGAGCAGTAACCCCAGGAAGGAGGAGAGACAGAAAAACGTGAAAATAGGAACAGACCTGGGAAGGGAACAGAGCCTGAGGGACAGCTGTGAAGATGAAACAGAGAAAAATGATCTGGCTGTGAAGGGTAGGACAGGATTCCCAAGAGTGGAAAACCACCGCAGACATCAGATCTGGGAGCAAACGTCTCACCTGAATCCCGGGATCATTTTGGCAAAGCCAATCACCTTCTGTATGCTGTAGCTGACCAGGTCGGCCAAGTGCGGGAGCATGGAGAGGTGGGAGAAGTCGATGTTCATGGAAGAGCTCTCATCATTCTCCTCGGAGAGGACCAGGTTTGAAAACATCTGGGGCTCCACAGACTCTGGAGAGAGGGAGACGGTCAGAGGGTACCGCGCTTGTAGGCAAGACATGGGTGAGGAGAGCGATGCCAGCTCACGGCAGCAACGGCATCCAAACTGCTGGGGGCTTTGCGTTGCGTTTGGACAGCGGGACAAGAGGAACGGGGCTGGGAGAGCAGTCGTTCGCTGGCTGCCAACAGCATCAAGATTTTTGCGCTTGGCCCTTGAACTCCTCTCCTGTGCTGCGATCAAGTCTAACCGCAGCCCGAGCGGCCACGACGCAGCCCAGCGCTCGCGTTCACCCTCCTCTTGGCCAGCCTGGAGGGCTCGGACACACAGAGGTCTGCAGGGCCGTGATCCAGCCAAGCACTTAATGCTTTTTGCTCGCAAAAAGCCTTTGCAACACCCCCAGGGGGGTCTTACGGATAAATAAGCTCCCCAGAAGAGGTAAAGCAAGGGTCTGAATGGCCAGACTGAGGTAAAGCTGCACTTCCACCTCCATCACATACGGGGCGGCAAGAGCGGTACCTGGAAACGTGCCGAAGCCATCGGAGCCAAAGAGGTCGGTGGAGTCCTCCGACGACAAGTCCTGGGTGAGAACGGAGGGGGACCTTGCTGCCCCCCTGTTGCTGGGGTTGCTTCTCATGGGGGGCTGGAAGAGAGAGCAGGACGTGAGGAATGGGGCCGGGAGAGCAATTTGGAGGCAGGCGTTCGCCTGCCGCCAACAGCGTCAGGGTTCTTGCACTGGGATTTTTAATGCCTCCCTAGAGAGGCGTCATGGGGTGAAGCGGGTTTGGCGCATCCGGGCAGGAACCGCTTGATTCTGCGCATGGGAATCGGGGCTGGCGTGCCCCGGACGTACCCGAAACTTGGTGAAGTCAGCGTACGTGGGGTCATAGGTCTTGCGATGAGCCTCGAGGAGTATGTCAATAACTTTCTGCTGCTCCTCTGAGAGTTTGGGCTTCAGGCTCTCCTTGAGCGCTTCCTCCTCCTTGCGCTTCAATATCATCTCACGCTTCCTCTGAACCTCCTCGTCTGTCAGGATGACTGCGGGACAAGGAAAGCGTCAGAAACGGGTGGAGGGAAACAGAGACTGAAGCAACCCCGGGCCGCTGCAGCCAGCATCCCTATCACCTTGCCAATCAATTATTAAACCTGCATCAACCCCATCCTGCTCCTGTCCTTGACTGCCAGGTCATGGCTTCCCGCTACCAGACCAGGACACGTTATAGCCCGCTCGGGTGCTTTTAGGCAAGGACCAGGTGCAGTAAGGTCACGTCAGTGCTGCCACGCGTCTGCTCTGTGCTGCAACCTCGCCGCTTGCTCTGTGTTTTCAGGTGAAAGAAATCTTGATCCTGCAAGAGGCAGGCCAGCGGGTTCCCCTCGCTCCGGCACGGCTCCTGCGCCGCTGTCGGCGCCTGACAACAGAGGGAGCCCAATGCGGCACCGCTCAGCCTCCGCGCCCGGCTACCACGCCGCAGCTGCGATAGTCTGGGTACCCAGCAGTGCTTCTGCGGCATCACAAGGATTTTTAAGCTAAGGGGGCACATAAACATACCCCCGCTCCCAGGACGGGGTATTTATGACTTGTATTACGGGTGACAGCCTTCAGCAGCGGCCAAGGCTTGGACTCAGAGGTGATACGCAGGGCTTCTCCCATTTCTTTAGGGAAGGGGAGCATCCATGGGCAATTTGGGCTCAAATCTTACCTTTATAAAAAGAGCTTAGAGACCTGAATAGCCTCAGAAGGTTGAAAGAGCAGAAAAGCAAGAGAGAGCCACAACGACCTCTGGGGGTAGCAGCCCCCCATCCTCGTAACAGAGTCAGACATTCACAAAAGCTCGTTAATACACACCAACCAGCGGGTCCTAAAAATAGCAAGGGCCATTCCTCAAGATGTTATTAGCCCTTTAACCAGTCATTAAAAAACCCCAAGCACGTTATCTGATGGCAGGCGGCTTTCTGCCTGCCTTGGGTTGCACAGAGCTTTGATGCTGGGCGAGTCGAGGTGGAATTTGGGACGAGAGGTCGTCGAAGGGCAGGGGGAGCCACGGTCACAGGGTTCAAGGCAAGGAACTGTTTGCAGTCCTTGCTCCCTTCTGCCACCTTTAGCCGACAGCATTTTTCCAATATGCTTTCAAACTTGCACAACCTCAGAGGGGACTTGAAGATCTTGGAGGCACGGGAACGACCCACTCAGGATGAAAGATCGCTCCTGTGAGCAGCACATTACGGCCAGCTCTGCAGGGGACAGCACGACTGCCTGGGGAGAAAAATCAGGATTTTGCCATCTCCCATCCCAGGTCTTATTATAAAAGCATTGGATCCATCTGGGCGCTGCAGGCAAGAAGGGAAACTGTTCATAGGCGAGGCAGCATCTGTGGGGAAAGAGCCACGTGGGGCTGGGAACAAGGGGAGGGCAAAGAGCCGAGCGCTTGGGCTGTGGCCATGGTGTTCAAAGTCCTTGCCAGCATGGTCTGTTCCGAGCATCGGGGCTTTGGAAGGGATTATTGCAGGTGTCTACACCAAGCAAATCTCAGATGCTGCAAGTGAATCGATCCGAAATTAGGAAGCATCTGCAGAGTTGGTTTGGAAAGAAAAAGATGTTTCTGGGGCAACACCACAAGGGAAATCTCCTTTGGATTTCCCACCCACCTTTAGGAAAACCAGCCCTCAAACAGATTTGAAACAGCGAGGCGGCAGCACTCCTCACCCTGGTAAGAGATGAAAAGCAAAAGCATGTCCCAGAGCATCACTTAGCAGGAGAACAAACACTGGCAAGGTTTGTGTTCCCCGGTACGATCCCCAAGGCAGCCAGATTTCCCTACCCAGGGTCTATGCAATGAAGCACCTTGGTTTCCCTGCATGTCCCAGGGCTGCTGGCTGCACCAAGGCTCGGCAGAGCACGTGGGCTGCGTGTTGCTGTGAATCCATTGCCAAACTGCTGGCGGTGATGACAGAAACTGGCTGTGGCTCTGGCTGGCAGCAGGGTCCAGGTTTGGTGTTTAATGCTCTGACAGGACTTGCTGGAGCCCACAGGAGACTAAAACCCAAAGGAAGCCCTGCAGGTGCTTAAAAGATAAAGGGGAGCTGCAGTTCCCTTCCAGCTTGCCTGGTGTTGTGAATGCCCGTGCCATGACACAGCAGTACTTGTGCAAGCCAAGACACAGCAGCATCAGCACTGGATTGAGAACCACCCCCAGCACTTCTGGCAAAATCGTTCCCAGGGACGCTGGGGAGCAGCAAACCCGAGATGCACTTTGCTTGGCTGTGCGGAGGAACGGCTCTTCAGCAGAGCCGGTGGTAACACGGGCGAGGGATGTCAGCGCAGTGACTTGCCTGCTTTATAAAGTCCTGGGGACAAGGATTTGACCCATTTACTTTGCACTCACAGAAGGGTGGGTGTTGCCCACCACGTCGCTGCCTGCCTCAAGGGGAAATACGGGGCCAGGAAATGGCTCAACACCTGCAGCTTCCACTCAAGATCCCGGCTCACGCCCTAGATCTGATCTCCTCCCAAACGCTGAGCTGGAGCCGTCCAGCCACAGGCTCCTGGCACGACCAGCGATGTGGCTAAGCGTCTGTGGGCTGCCCTGACCCGAAGTCCGTGCGGAGGCTAAGATAACATCTGCCCATCGCTTCCAGACAGACTCTGGCCCTCTTTGCGAGACACCGCAAGGGCAGCAGGAAAAGCCACGGCCGACACCGAGGGCAGCACATGGGGATACAGCTGGCCGGGCGAGGATACAGCCCTGCAACCCTGGCCAAAGCCAGGGGCTTGGAAGTGCTGGAGGGTGATGTGGAGCAGCATGAAGGCAGACTCGCCCTGTCAGGCGAGGAAAGAGCAGCCAATATAAAGCAAAGTTCAAGCTTAGGAAACTTCAGGCGTGAAACATGTTCACTGGGTGTCTCTTGAGCATTTCACTGAAGCTTGAACGGTGGGTGCTTCTGCCTGCCCCGGGCGCAGCTGGGGACACCGTCCAGTCCCAGGGCTGCAAAAAGCCCCATCGTTGCTCCCCCACCCTGGGACAGCCTGCCTGGCACGGCCGCCACGTG